CCTCCGCCCGCTGCGGCGCGCTCCACCTGCCCATCCTGCCGCCGCCCGCCCGCGGGGCCCCAAACCCCGGCCCCGGCCGCACAGCCCCGCTCCTGACCCCTCCGCGCCCCGCGTCCGTCCCCGCCGCGAGCTCTACCTTGTAGGAGTCGGTGGCCAGAAGGATGTTGAACTCGGCTTCTGCCGCAGCGTTCATCTCGGGCCGGAGTGGAGGGGCCGCTCGCCGCGAGGTACCCGGCGCGGCTGCGAGGAAGGAGAAAAATGGGCTTCACCGCGCTCCGTTGCTTAAGTCACTGCTCGGTCTGAGGAGGAGGGAGAGGGGAAAACGGAGTGCGGGGAGGGGCCGAGGAGGGCGGGCCCGGAGCAGTGACGCGACGGAGGCGGTGGCTGCGGCTGGAGCGCTCGTGGTCTGGGAGCTCCCGACCCACCTACTCGGACACGGTGGGCGGGGCGCGGCTGCGCGTGCGCAGCGCAAGGGGGCGGGGCGGCGGGAGGACGTGAGGCACGCGCTGGGGCTCGGGGACGCCCGTCCGGCGGCCGGGAGTTGTGCGTGACCCGGCGCGCGCTACTCTCTGGCCTCGGCCCGCGCGGTGGGCGGGGCTTGGGGGCGTTCCCGGATCGCCCCACCCACGAGGCGTCTGCCCCGCCCCCGGGGCCCCCCAGCCCAGTCCAGCCCAGCCCAGCCCTTGCTGCTGGTGCTCCGGGTTTGGCCGCTCGGCCGAGCCGCCTACTCCTAGTCCCGCTCCAGCACTGTCTCCGGGACTGCGAGCCTGAGTCACCTTTGTTTCCCCACTGGGACCAAGGGTGGAGCCTGCGACTGCGGTCCCAGGCGTGCTCCCCATTCTCACCCGCTCTTCAAAATCGAGGCACCGCGGCGAGGAAGGAGATGCGAGCGCCCCGTTATTTTATGGTTTGTGGTACTGAGGATCTACCCCAGGCGCCTTGGACGAAGCTATGTCCCCAGCCTGCTAAAAGGAATTTTAAATTTTGAGACAGGCAGAGTTCGCTCCTTGGCCCACGATGAGTTCGAACTTTCGATCCTCCCGCCTCAGCTTCCCAGAGTACTGGGATTGCAGGGCTGCGTGCCCCCTCTACCCCCCTAATCTGACGCTTATGGATCCTGCTGACCCCCCGCACCATCTAAAGCTCAGTTCTTTGATCCTTTGAAAGATGTTTTGACGTTCTTGAAGAAAACAGCCTGCATCAAAAGGCGGAGGTTTAATTCGGTGCTCGTAGACAATAGGAGGGGGGGTAGGATAGTGTGCTGAGCGGTAAAAGGCTACTGCCCAATCTTACAGCGTGAGAAACTAACTTTATGGTCGCAGTCATTTAATCCTAGGAAACAGATGACAACTTTCAAATAAGTAAAGTGATGTCTGATGATCTTACCCAGACACCATGAGACCATGCACTTGCGCAATTTATGAGCTGGAGCTTGTATCCTCCTGCCTCAGCCTCCTGCAGTGCTAGGAATATGGATATGCCCCAGCAGGCTTGGCCCCACTTCTCATACAAGATTGCATTTTTGCATATTTTCCTGTTACATGTTCAATATACTTATTTTTATTTATTTATTTATTTTTTTGCGGAACCGGAGATTGAACTCAGACCCTTGGGCTTGCCAGGCAAGTGCTTATTCTACTAAGCCATCTCCCTGGCCCCAATATACTTAAATTGATATTTAAGTTTTTACTGAATACAAAAAAAATCCAGAAAAAGTGATGAAAATGAAAAAGGGTGCAGCTGTTATAGCCTGTCCTTCACTTCAAAGACTTCTGGTGGCAGCCGTGGTGGGTCCTGAGTATTGAGAGACTGACCACGAGGGGAGTGGAAGCACCTCTGGGACTGCTCAGTGAGGTCTAGACTAGGTCTTGAAGTCAGAATATATTTCCCCGTTTTCTGAGTAGATCCAGGGCAAGTGTGTAAGTGGGCGAGATCGTCGGGCCCTCACCAAGGTAGTAAGTACTACTAATACATTTAGAATTGTTTGCAACAAACAGTTTTGAAACAAGAGGTTGTATTTTTCTTGCTGGTTTGGTTGACCCTGTGTTTCATAGGGGAGGCTATTCCAATTGAATATA